GAACTGAAGCAGCCTCTGTGCTGGAGCCAACCTGCTGCGAGCAGAGCGGGTCCCCGCTTGGCAGTGGAGGGCAGGAGAGCCGGCCCGGTCGCAGCGGTGCCGGAGCCGCAGAGCGGAGCAGGGAAAGGCAGCTCAGGTCACTAGTTCTCAGGCTCACTGCTGACAACTGCAGGGTCATCCTGCCTCCTCTCCTGCTGCTGCAGTAGCTACCACTTTAGAATGAAACTGAAGAAATACAGTTTTTTTTTCCTTCCTCTTGACTCTTAAACTCTTTTTCCCTTTGTGTTCCATTCCTCCTTTGAAATCCCATCTGTGCAGGCTGCCTAAATCACCTCCAGCCTCTCCTAGCAACCTTTTGCCTCCAGACTAGTCCCTCAATCTCTTCAGTGTAATTTGCAGAGCAATTTCCAGCTGATGAGGTACTAGCTGGGCACGGCTCGGAAACAGCTTTGCCAGAGCAGCCGCCGCTGCTTCAGCAGCGCCCTGCACCCTCGTCAGCCACTGTCTGGTCTGGGAGCTACCTGGCTCCAGAAGTATTCTCATAAAACAAGAAAGTACCCAAAATATACAAGCAATGGTGCTGTTAAAACTAATAACTAGACAATTTCTAAGGCGGACTGCAATGGCATTGAGGACTGAGCCCTCGCAAGGCTCCAGGCCGGCAGCTGCCCCCGCACAAGCCTGGCCCAGAGCGAGGGACGTTCACCTTACCCGTGTTTCAGACGGGATGCGTATCCACGTTACATTCATATAGCTGTGCAGGAGGTTCAGCTTTGCCTCAAGAGACAGAATCAAACTGAGAATGAAAAAAGAAGGGAACAAAGCAGTTAGAAACACTCTGAAAAGAAAAGCACTATGTGGTTGCAGGGAGGGGTTATACTGCTGAGTGGGACAGCAGCCTGAGGTGCCACCGTGGACTGCAGACCCCCCTTCTCTTCATCTATGCGACAAGGGGACAGGAACAAAGCTCCACTGTTAGCAGGTGGCCCAACACTGAGGGCACGCACGGCTCAAGACACTCCACTGGTCATACTGGGGTTGCAGAAGGCTCTTACTTGGCCAGCTTGGTGTTGTCATTGTCATCCTTCCCCCACTCCCAGTCCTTTCCGGGATCCACCGCAAAGTGCAAAGGCAGCAGCTTGTGTTCTGAGTCAGTCAAGGGGATCACCGCTGACGTGGAGAAAAAACAACAACAGAAAGATTTAGCTGTGAAAAACAAAGAGAAACAAGAAAGGGCAGAAGCCAAGCGCGCTGCACAAGGGTCCTGCCCTTCCTGCAGAGCACCACAAAGGTCTGCAGAGGCTCCACATCCTGGTGTCAGGAGCGTCTCGCTCTCCCATCCTCTCCCAGCTCTGCTGCGGCTCTGCCTTCTCCCGCGGGTCTTCACGACTGCTCTATACTCAGCACGCACAGACTACACGGCGACACAGTCAAAAAGAGCTATCACTCATCACCATCAATAACGTAAGGGAAGAGCACTGTGAGCTTTAATTAGAGCCAGCAATTTGCTCCTATTTCATTAGAAACCTAAAGCTAAAGCTGTTGAGTGACTGGGTGGGACTCTCAGGATTGTGCAGGTCGCTGCTGTCCCTCTCGCAGCCAATCAGGGAATAACATTTTCTATACAGAAACCTTCCTGACTTAGCCTAGGCACTCATATTCCAACAAACCCCACCTTATTGAAGGTTTACTGCGTTATTGGCTATGTATTGTTAAAGCAGTTTCTGCAGTTCAGTAAATACATGTTGTCATCAAAAGGGTCCAGCTGACATGCTGTCAGCACAAAGGTACAGCATTTATACTTAAATATTGAGTCTGCCGAGCAGAATACATAAAATAAAATCTGCATTTTTAACATGGAAAAGTCAGTATTTGGTTCAGACAGTTTGACAGCTGAAAAATAAAACAAAAAACAACCCACTGCTTTTCTGCTCTGCAGATTGGAAATAAAGTCAAAACTCTACAAATTTAATGGAAATATTGCCCCCTACTGCTTATGATATGTAATTCCTGAAATATTTTCTCCATGTTAACTGCATATGAAGTGTAGAACAGATGGTGATTAATCAACTCTCGCTCCAGATACTGCTTGAAGATACAAGCATGGAAATGAATACTCTAAGAGAATTTAGCTCCCTGGAGAAGCTCATAGGAGCAACTTGTCCAACCTGTCCAACTCTACAATTGAAGCTACGCTGTAAAACCAGGTGCTGAAGTTTGAGAACCCAGAAAGGAAGAGCAGCAGGGACGGCAACTGAACACACGCATCAGCGTAACCTCGCTGAATCCAAGGAAGTTTTATCAACAAGGGGCTGTGATGGAATAACCGAGAACATAATTAACAGATCCTGATTCCAAAGGAAAACTTACTAACATTCACATTCTGCCAATTAACTTAATTAAGCGGACAGTAATTTGCACTGGATTTACAAAAAGGCGTCCCAATGCAACAAATCATCTGTTTTAAAGGAAGAAAGTGCCTTTAGTTTAAGAACGACTTGAGACTATCATTTAATTCAATAAACAACCACTTTTCATAAACAATTTTAAAGCAACCCTTAAAAGCCATGTGTGTCTAATTTATGTTGAAAACACATCTATTAAAATGCATACTGATACTTATTTTAATGAAATCTTAAACTCTAAGTAGAAAAAGTTTAGAGGAGATTTTCTACGTAGTGTCACTGTATTGTCTTACTTAGAATACTATGGCAGTGCCGTCTATCTCTACACAGAAATGTCTGTTAATCATCATTTTTTTAGGCTGTGAGTTGAATGTAAGCCCTATGCTCACTGTAACGGATAGTTTGGGGTTGGTATGAAGCACTGACATCTTCATGAAACAGGTAGCTGCTAAACTCACTGAGATTGAAAATTTTCTCTCTGCTGAAAGAGATTCCTTCTCTCCTGGGGAATTCCATTTACTAATAGTGTTTTTTAGTAAGTTTTCCCCAAGATCCTAACATGCAATTTTTTTTTAATGTCCAATTGCAAGCAAAATCAATCACACTCCTCTCTCAAGCAATGCTGTTGATTATAAAATCCAGCTTAATCAAAGACTTTGCAATGTTGCTGCATTATTGTAGTTAAACTTGATTTTGGATGCTCTCTAGCTGAAACCACACTTTTTGAAATACAGTCTTCAAGTGCATAGCAACAGGCATACAACAAAAGTAACAGCAGGTATTTTGCCCATGCCAGGTTTAAAACACCCAGTGGGGACTTTCCGCTCCCTTCCTCAGTTTGGTATTTTGCCTTCCATGCTGTGAAGTCGCTGCTTTTGCTAATGTTCATGCCACAAACATCCTTATTCATCTTCTACAAAGCGCAACAGCTTGGCTGCCTCTGCAGACGCCAGCCAAGCAGGGCGCTGACGCAGCTGCTGCCACTGCTGCTCCAAACCACGGGCCCCTCTCGCCGGGCCCTGCGACTGGGCGACAAGCGCGGGGCTGCGGGAAGCTCCGGTCTCCCGGATGGGCCTCAGGAGGGGTAAGAACTGCTCTATTTTCCTTAGTGCGTGTGCAAAGACAAAAAAACACTACTAACAAAACAAACTATGAGGCAATCTTTAAAAACATAAACATGGAATATCTGAAATAATTATTGCATGACCATGATATGTTTCAAACCGCTACAGTTCTTTTCTCCCCATTTTAAAACTTTACTTACATATGTATCTTAAACAGTGAGATTTCTTCTTATTTTACTCCTACATCAGCTCTTCACTAGCAGCATTATTCTGTGACTTCTCCTAAGTCATTTATATGGCCAAAATCTCACTCTAGACCTGCTTCTTTATTAACTAGATGGTCAGCAATAACTTGGATAACAGAATTGTAGATTTAGTCTAGCAGGGGAGCACTCAAGTACTAATATACTCTAAAACATCAAAATGATGAGACAGAACATTACAAGTGACTTTTTCCTAAATGAGAAAAAATAATAGCATTTAACACACAATGTAAGAGTGCTTTTTTTTCTTTTCCATTTCATGACTTCTCCATGATAATATGACACACTAAGTACCCTTCCAATTACTAAGTACCCTACACTTTACTAATTCTAATTAACAAGCATCTTCAGGAACCCAAAATTAAAGCAGATATCAAAGCCTGTCCCTATTTACATACGTGGAATGGCCCCAAAAGCTTAAAGTGCAAAAGAGTGGGCGCACAAGGCCCAGAACTGAAGCGTTCTTACCCCCAGGGCTGGGATTAGACCAGTGAGGTTTACATTCCTAATTATGTAGCAATAAAACCCAGTGGATACAGTTTCCCTTCTGGTACAAATACACTTCCAGGTTGATGAAAATACACGCGTACACACTACGTAACATTGAGCTGCTATGTTTAGAGCATACCTTGTTCTCTCTGTTGATCTTTTTGTTCCATGGAAACAAGAGCAGAGAAATGTGCCTGATCGTAGGCAAGGACAAGAGGTGAGCAATGACATCTGTTTGGTAGAACTTCAAGAGGCAAATAAATTCCTCCAAATGGGATAGGTGCAAATGCTGCAAAGAAAAAGGGGATTCTTTAACTATGTGAAAGAATGGACATTAATGTTGGATCTGTAACATGCAGCAATTGGGCTCCCAGATGCAGGAGACAACATAGAAAAAGAGAAGGCAGTTTTGAAGGGAATCATATGATCGGACAAAATTTCATTATAAGAGGCTCCTGAAGCACACTATGAACTATGGATGAAAACATTTTGCACTCAAACATATATTTTTTCCCTTGCTCTAGCTGTTTACTAATAAAGACATTAGTGTCTTTTAAAAGGTCATTGTGACTCTCACTTGTGTGTGGGCCTGTACTCGCCTGGAATATGTTTAGTTACAAGAACAGTTTCCAACAATCAGCAATAATACACTACCAGTTCTATCAGTTCTTTTGGCAACATAACTCATGAGGAAAAATGGGGGGTTGGACTAGATGACCTCTAGAGGTCCCTTCCAACCTTAACGATTCTGTGAGGCTGTGGTTATTGTCACAAAATCAGATGGGCTATAGGAGAAACAAAAATGGGAGTAGCACAAAACTGGGATAGGAGAAGCTTGAGAGAATGCTTTTTCTTGCTTTAATCAAGAGGTATACTTGTGGTATTTACTATTCTATTATTATTGGACCCTTCCATAATACCAGTAAGACTATACTGCTTTTAAAACTACATCATGGTGAACAAATGAAAATTATGAAGGACAACAATAAGAATTCAATAAATTATTCATACTTAATATTGTTTTAAATGAATTGCACTCCTGCTTGCATTGAATGTTTCAAGTGGAAGAATTCAAAAAGCTTTTAGTAAATGGTTTACATGTGAAAGAAATCATACGTTTTCTAAAAAAATGCATTACAGTATATGATTGGCTCTATAAGTTATTTTATTTCGTGGCAACTTTTGTAATTTCACTATTTTGCAGAGGTAAAAATCAAAATTTTATGTGAATTGAAAAAGGGCCTTTCCTGTTAGCATAACAAGTAGATGCTGACAATTTTGTTTATTGTTGACCGAGTTATCTAATGGAAAATCCAAAATCCCTCCAAATCTCTCTGAAATCCATTGTTCCGACAAAATATAAAGGTAGAATGTTTAATGACAACAGAAGAACAAAAACATACGGAATGAAATGGACAGAGAGAAATCAAAACTTTAACAGAGATCAGTGATTTGAAGGAAACAGTATTCCTTGAATTTTAATATTTTAAAAATATTAATGCCTGAACATTCATAGCATTTCATATTATTTTAGTTACGACTCCAAACTAATGAGAACTAAAGTGCTTCATCTACTAAATTGTTTCAGACTTGTACTGGTATTTGTTTAAAGAATTGTATGAATTTTCTAAGAAATATGTTGTGTGCTGTAATTCACTGGATACTGCAGTTGTCACTGTCAGTCTTCAGTGAGAGTCACCTAATTATCCAGTATTTTTACTTTGACTTAATAAATATAGCCCTAATATTATTCTGATTTTTTTTCCTCAGAAAAAGGCAGCAGTAACCTCAGAAATGCTGAAGTATGTTGTACCTGTGACTTTTAGTTATGATAGATCACCATTGATGCAATAAAAATAGGTTAATTAAAAATAAATTTCCAACAAAAGGCTCTTACCTTCTCCCCCTGAGTCCCTTAACATTGTATCTGCTACTACAACGATGGGTCTTCTCAAAATATGGGCTAAGACAAAAACATGGAACTCTTCCAAGCTCTCGTACACCGGATCTTCTGCATTATCGACCCTGGAAGACAGAGCACTGCAGCTTTAGGGACACACAAGCAGCTATTTACTGCAAGTACTGAAATAGATAACAAAAACGAAACAACAAAAAGCTAAAGGGTATTTTCTTTTAATCTTTTTAAAGAGAATAATAGGAACACAGAGAACGCTTTCACCTGCAGACTCCAAGTCATTCTAGTTCACTGATAATATTTCACAGCTGACAATATATTTTCTGTAATTATCATCCACAATTAGTCCTAAATTCTCAACTACAGAGATGGCCAAAATGAATAAATTACTTATTAAAAGAATTTGACAGAGTCAAGTACATATAATATGTTATAAGAAAATGAGGCTGAGATACACCAGTCCTATCTGGGATGATCTTCAAACAGTTTCTGTTCTGTTCATAACCTGATGCCTGGCAGGCACAAACACTGACAGAACAGGCGAAAACAGAAAGACAGGATGTCTATTCAAATAGAAAATTGTATCTGAATGTTGCGAGAATATCTGTAAAGACCTGTATTAAATTACACACCTACCATTACCAAGAAGAACATAGAAATAAGATATGTAGGAAAAGTGGGCATGTGTACAGCACGTAGAGCAGATTTGTACTTTCTTCAGGTCAGTACTATATAGCTATAACGTGCCAAGGCTACCAATACCTGCCAGATAAGCATATACAGCTATTCTCAACAGCATCACATGCCAGAAATACAAATTTAACCAGATGAACTACCACCATGTTTATGAAGACAGCTAATTCCTTAAAATATAATGTATGGACTAGCATCCTCAAAGTCTTTTTAAAAATATCTCTGCTATCTTATTATCCTGAGAAAGTTAGTGAGTTTTCCCCACAAAGCAGGCAGTTACGTGTGCTTTGTGGCTCAGAATTTCTGAAAGCAATTACACAGAGATTTTATCTTAAAGAATATGTGCTGATAACTTCTAGTGATACACTACTGATCACTGAATGCTACAGGGTACTTTTCCATCAAGAATGCAGTGCAGAAAAACTGATTTAAAATTCAATGAAGAAGAAGGAAAAAAAAGCCTTCTGATCCTCAGCATCAGCACGTTTTGGATCAGACCCACACTATGCCAGGAAATGGAACTGCCCAACATATTTGAAAAGCAAACTCAGGAAGTCAATCATTTATGAAAGAGATCATTCATTCATCTGGACGGTAAGAATAATTCTCTTTAATTCTCTGCTTCTCTAGCTGAACATTTTGAGCCATTTTACAACTTCCAAAGCATTTTATTGCTTTTAAAAAAAATTATTTTCTGGATTTTTTTTGTGGTTTCCTTTCCTATATTTTGAGTCATGAGAACATTTTAAAGCTTTGCCTGTGTTACCTCTGCCATAGAGGAAGATAGAAAAACTGCAATAAAAAATGGGAGGGTTGACGACAGGAGACCCAAGCAAAGGTGAGAGGCAGCGGAAAGCGCGTCTGCCCGGAGCAGCTTCTGTGAGGCAGGACAGGCAAGGCGAGCGCCCGGGGAGGCAGTACTATAGTACGATACACTATAAAGTACTACAGTACTATATACTATGAAGTACTATAGTACTATAAAGATAGTTTGATGGACCCAGAAATGGAAACATAATCAGGCAACCATGCATGTACACAACAGATGTAAAAAAAAAAAAACAAACCCTTTGGAACAGTGAACTTCCCTGTTTATCCATGTGGGACATGGTTAAAAGTTCAGAAAAATAAAATCATAAGCTTATCTGTGTAATGTATGTGACTCCACATAGGCTTTTTACCACAGTTTACACATTTTTCAGTTCATATACACTCTACCTAAGAAAATAAAGCATCTATAGAACATCTCCCCTTTGAAGAAATGCAAAATACCAAATGTAGTTGTTTAGAATTTTTCAGGAAGCTCCCTGAACCACTCAGAACAGGTGCCTTAATCAACAGAAAGGACTTGGGATCATGGCAATTTGTTTTTTAATCCTTAATTTGCTCCTAGACACATGCTAACCAAAACAAACTGTCCAAAAGCCAGTGTTATTTGAAAGCTTTCACTAACAAATATGCCAAACACATGCTGTGTTAAGAGCTTGGAGAGATACCCTGCAATGTATTGTAAGGATTTTTTTTTTTTGGTTGGGTTTCTGTTTATTTATTTATTCTTTTACAGATACCAATGACATAATTCCAAAAAATGGGACAAAAGTCAACAGATTTCTAGGCCAGAAATCCCCTTATTTGTGCATGATTAGTTCAGTTAAACCAGACACAGGAATTTAGACATTTATTCCTTCTTTCAAGCAAGGATTACAAATTATATATTTTCTTAAAAGAGATTCAGAAGGAATCACTGTTAAATGGCACATCTCAAGCAAGGGCTTCTTTCTATCAAAAAGGAGATTACAATCTGCTGTGGTTAGATTCTTCTATCCAACTTTGTGGTTATGCACTTTGATTATTTTATTCTCAGGCAAACAAGTGCTGTTTTAACTTGTTACAAGAGATTGGGAAACCACAGGCTGGAAAATGAAGACTTTGATGAGGATTGGCTAGCATGCCACAAAAGAGACCAACAGACACAATTTGCGTTCATGTGATAATGTCATTTTGGCATTAGAGAGCTAATAAATCTGCCAAATACAGCACTTCACCACAAAACCCATTATTAGTAAGTGACTTCACCTTAAAGCCCAAGGAGAACTGAACTCAAGCAACTATTTCAGTCATGTTTCCTCTGTATTCAAACACATTTCAAATAAACATTAGAAAATTCTATAACAGAATGAAGAGAGGATAATTCATAAAAATAAAACATAAAAAATGACACTAACAGATTCAGAAAGGGCTGTTCCATCCACAGCTCTGCTGAAGCACACCCGCTGCACAAGGCAGCATCCAGAACAGCGGAGCTTGTCCCTCACTCGCCACCAGCTCCTGCTTGACTCCCACTCAGCCATTTCTTTCCAGAGGAAAATCAAGCCCAACCACCACTATACAGTGATAAAGACACCTGACTCAAACTAGAAACGGCTGCATGTAATTAAAGCATTAACTTACTATAAGATATTTGTGAAAAGCAACAACCAAAAAGAACTGTGTGGGCACTGCTCCAGAACACACAGGCCAAATCCAGGGATGATCCTGCAGCCCCGAGGGCATCCAGCCCAGCCTACAACTTTGTACTCCAGTGTTCCATTGTATCTCGGGGAGCACAGCAGAATAAAAGTCATTAACAACAGCCTGGTGCAGATACAAATTCTCTGCTCAAACAGCGAGACACCTGTACTTTTCTGCTCCCTTTTGCCCTTTCCTCATCTTGCCAGGAAAATTTTCCTGATAACCAGACTAAATTCTCTGTTTTGTAATTTCCTCTTACATTCCTTACTGAATTCTTCTCCATGATGGGCTGTGAGAGCTTTCCAACATTTGCAGTCAATTATGTCACCCTAATAGCTATTTCTTAGCCAAAAAGAAGTTGGAAGAACTATCTTCTCGGCAAGATGATATGACACGAAGATTTTATTTTCTGATAAAATATTTTGACTTTACTCTTTCTAAAAGTTTTTTTTCCCCCTTAAATCCTCTAATCTATCATTCTAATTAATGAAGTTTCTAGATAGAGCTGTTTCAGAAGGACCTTTATCCCTTTGGTTAAATGATGTCAAGCCTGATAGCACATGAAGTCCGAAATTCCTCTGAGCTTCTCTTATTCTTCAATACCACATCACCAAGTTGCTTGGTTCAGTATTAACAGTCACATCTGCACACTTCAAATGCCTCTCCTCTGTCACATCTGCTTTCCATTGCTTGTTCATAGTGGTCAATTTTGTTTCACTATTGCCTATAATTTATCTAGGCTGTGTTGCAGGATTTGACTATCATTTCTAAGTAGTCAGTATGAATTTTTGCAAAGATTAATGAGAATGAAAAATATAATCATTAACCTTTTTCTATCAGTGCCCTTATAATTACAGTGAAAGAGTTAAATGGGAACAGCACTCCTGTAATAAGTAGGAAGCACAAAAAAAACCCCACAGTTTTTAAGTAATGTCTTAAATGATTAAGTGAATGACATTCTTCTCTTACACGACAATGTGTGAGAACGCTTTTTCCTCCAGTTCCCAGATCTACAGGAATACAGTAAGCACATTTCATCTTGGATTTTATACTGCAATATTCCAAATACATAACTCAGTCTGAAAACTCCCAACACATTTGAAAGCTACTTCTTGTTTAATTGCTCAGTTTTTGCTGCCTTAAATATAACTCTAATGACACATGCAAAGATTGCAATAGTCTTCCCACCCTCCTTACCTTTCTCAAATTACTTGACTTAATAAGGCACCTCCAACTGCATGAAGAATATGAGACAGCTACTTAGAACCTCCCAGTTAATACAGTAAGAATGGCAGCCACATCCAAAACCTGTCTTAGCTGCTGCCAGGACTCTACATGACATTTAGCTTTAAGCCCTAGTTGCTTTCCAAGAAGCAGAGCAACAGTGATAATCAACTACCACTAGAACAAGCTTTGAAATCTTTGACTGAATACAGCCTGCAAAATGAAGGAAGGGCTTGTAATTTTGTCTCGTCAGTGGCAGTGGTCAAATTTTTAACAAAAAGAAAGGGTGCAAGATATTTTCCTTTTTCAAAGCACTTGCTTCAATTTAGCCTTGCCTTTGTTTGTAAACAGAGATAAATGAAACAAGATAATTCCAAAATGTTCTTACATTACAGAAAGATGTGCAAATCAGTTTCAAAACATGACTTTGCTCCAGAGTTAGCCTGTTCAAACTGCTTGAAGGATTCCACATGTTGGAAACCAGAACTTAATAACAAGATTTTCCTGTTCCATCTTTGTCTCTGACTTGCAGCTCTCAAAAAGAACAGGTTCTCAACAAATAAAAACTCCACAGATTCAGTGACAATTGCCCATCTCCTTTATAAGCACTTCACTCTCCAAAATAAACACAAGGAGCTTGCAAGTGAACAAGGCCACATAATTCCAAATCTGTGTTGTCACCAAATTCTTTTGAAGCAGATGCAACTTTGTTGCTTTAGTTAGTCCTGACCGCAAAGGAGAAAGCCTCCTCTATAATTCAAAGGCTAACTTGCAAATTTTCTTAATACTGAACCTTAATAGTAAATGCCATAAACACACCTGAAAAATATTATTTTCTCTTTTCCTTCTCAGGTGCTCTATTACTTTGAATTTTAGATAGGTTAACAGTGAGAAAATAATTCATTATATCACTATTCTTTGGAATGACTGCCGCGAGATTTACATATCCATGTTTTTAGTTGCTTAAATTTCTTGGCAGTTCCTCTTTGCTTTCACTATTCATTTAAAAATGAAAAGTTTTACTGGAAAAATTAACTCTTGTGTTTTTAACTTGACTTCATTCCCATGCAAACTATGATGAAAACATAAAAAGAAAAAAAAAAAAAAGAATCCTTTATTTAACAGTGTGATACTCTATTTTGAAGTTTCTGAGAACTACAGTTAAAGATGAGTGACTGGCTAGCAAATGCAAAATCTCCATATCAGGACACCTCTAACTGGAGCACACAGAACCTACGCACTCTGTGAAACGTGCAGAATCAGACAGACACAGTGAGGTCATGAAAGACTGGTGGTAAATGGTCAAATTTAATAGAATTGAATTGAATTGCATTAGAAGACTAAAGCATATTTACTGCGAAGTATCTTGAAACAGGGAGGGAAAATTAAAAGTGAAAAAAAGAAATCCTTATGTTTCGAAATACAAGAAGATGAGATGTATATTGTGACTGACAATTTGCAAAACGGTTGTTTTGCCTGATGCTTTTTGTGGTCAAAGGTTTTAAAGGAGAAAGCAATGTAATATATTTCGAAGAAAACGGAAGATTTTTTACTCTCACTGTGTTCTGTGCTCCATTTTGTCACTTATCCCAAGCAAATTTTTCCAGGTAAACAGCAGCCAGAAGAAAAAAAAAAATAATAGAACAGAAGTTCTGTTCTGGTCAATGAGAAGTAGAAGCTTAATTTCCTTGGAGCTAAATGCTACCAGCTCCATGCTGTCTTAGCAACTAGAAAGCTAGGATTTACAAAAATCAGACTCTTCTGGACCCAAAGTCAACTCAAGATAGTGTAGTAACCTCATGAGTAGACTCAGACCAAATGCTAAATAGTATTAGGGAATGGTTAGACATTTATATTCTACCAGGCAAAAAAAACCAACAACAACAAACACCAAACCACGAAAAACAACTGGTTGAAAGGCAGTTTGTCAGCACTACAAATATCATCATTAATTTGAAGACATTTTACTGTTTAGTTTTCCTACTGAGAGCACAACCCAGAAGCTTGTATTGTACCCCAGACTCACCCGCCACCAGTGCCTCCGTTCTTGCTGAAGTGGGTGCGCGGCTCACTTGACGCCAGCTTAAGCAGTTCATTCCATTCCCGTTCCCACTCTTCCTCTGTATATACTAAGCCCGACTAAGGAAGATAATGAAATACCTTTAAAATTATGCTGATACAAAATATAACTAGAGTTCTGCAGTGGTATTTACAACTAGACAATGTATTTTGAGTTTCAAAGGCAAAATATGGTTTAATATTAGGGGTTCTATGTTCACCTTGTCTATACAGTCATCATCTACATTATCTAGTCTATGTTTAGTTTTGGAGACTGAAATATAATTTGTTACAAACCATCTCAGAACGTGTTAGATATGAAACTGTATATTTCTGCCCACAATGACAAAAATACATTTGCATTTGAATACTCAAATTCTAAACGCAAGTATCTCTTTTCAAATGAAAAACTGAAACACAGAAAATTACGTAGCAATTAAACGTTCACACCAAACTTGAGAGGAATACTCTTGACCCTATATGATGTTAACAAGACTGTCCTCAGGGTACACAGACCTCCTTATTCTGCTGAGTCTGTTGCCATCTCCATCTTCTTTTCAGGGCTTCCCTTTCAGCTCCAGTTCTCATCATAGTGTAGAGTGCTTTACGCAAGACAAGGTCCCGATCATGAAAACCCCACATCCCTACAGCAGCACAAGACGACACTCAGTTTTAAAGAAGCTACAGTGAAATAGAAACAGTATCAATACAACCAATATTGTTTTAAAGCAAAAACAAAAATGAATGGCTCATTCATTATTTAAGTTGCTTTTAGTAGCAAAAACATCATCCATTTTTAAGGTTTGCTAATGAAACCACCAATACAGACAAGCTAGTGAAAATTCTAACAAATTTTAAAGATTGATTAAGGACTTAAGACTTGAGTTGATTCAGTATTTCGTTTCCTTGCAACTTCAACTTTGCTGTAAGTAATGGAATATTCAGTATAGAGGTTTTGATTTTAGCTGGAATTTCCAACATGGACACTAGAATGGTACTGATAGTTGCATCTCAAATGATGATACAGACACCCATAAGACTCTGCTCTTATACAGCCTAATAATTTTCCTTCGCTCTGAATCCTAGAAGAGAGATGAGCATTCGTGATGACTGGAAGTCTAAAAATACAAGCAGCCACAGGCTTTCAAGATCCTTTTAAGATAATAAAATGTCTTATGTACTTGAAAACTGTACCCTATGATAAAAGAGAGTGAAGCCTTCACCAGGACATTTGCCTATAGGCAGTCATGTTTCAATTATTATATTGTCAGCTGCTGTCAATTAATATGTTTATTTCAAACTTTTAAAGTCAAGCATTTGCTATAAATAACAAAATTCCTTGAAGTTGAAAATAGAGTAGGCATAGATAAAAGGGCTCTTAGAAACAATAAAAATCTGTTTCTCTTGTTATTTCTTCAAAAAAAAAATCAAGTCTTCCAATGATTAAAAATCTCTATATTTCTAAAAATTCGTCTTTGGGAGTTTTATTGGTGCAAGATTTTAGCAATAATAACAGAAAAATGAATTTCCTCAAAATACTTATAACAGGGAAGACCTGTTACAGGTTTTCAGTTTCACGGATTTTTTTATTTATTTGGTAGCATTTGAAGGAAGCTTTCAAAGGTCTTGTATTAATGATTAATGAACTGGAATTTATTTTTAATTCATCCCAAACTCTCTCCCCCATGTAATTAACATCTCTAAAGCATGAACAGAGATAGTAAGGACATACTGTGTTCTTGAAGATAGTAGGACCACTGTTTAAAAAATGCAAATGAAAAAAATGTAATTTCTCAACCACAATATAGACAACCCTGTAGAAGCACCAAAGCTGCACCTGTACCAGGACTGCTGAATTGGACTAGGTATGGAAAACGTGAATCACTGTCATCTGTGATTAAAGCTTTATGATACTGTTCCAGATTCATGAAAGTCTTTGAATGTCATGTGCTTGAGCTTTTTACAGGGATAAGGAAGAACAAATATTATTGGTAAAAGACTTGTTGCGCAGATTCTCCCTTACCTAAAGAGGCAGCATGCAAGAGGCAGTTTCCATCGCCTGTTGTAGCCAAGGGAAGCAGACGTTTGCAGCTTGTGCACACTGTGGACCACCAATTCAGTCGTCCTGAAAAGAAATCACACATTAAAATGGCTAAAATGCTAAAACAAGATAAACACTGAGTACAGGCATATGTGATGATGAATAATGTTGAAGATTAACTGTAAAAATCCTTTCTGACAAACAAACTTCAATGTAATGCTAGAAGGACAAACTAAAAAAGATTAGAAGAGAACTATAAATGTGTATTAGGTAAGATGAGAGAACCTTTAATTAATCTGCAACTTCCATTCTCCAATACTTCACTCAGTAAAAGATTTCCAAGGATTTCATTGCCTAAATACCCTTTTGAAGGTGGGTATCAGTTTCCAAGTACAACAGCCATCGGCATCCTATATACAGATCATAGATGATATCAGGGCACTCAAGTCTTGGAAGACAAGGATTGTGAGTGATTTAGGAGTACAATTGTTTCAGTCGCGTGGATTGTTTCTAGTGCTGATTCTTTTCCCACTTACTATAGTGTAAGGCATGCTTTGGTCTACTGAAATCAACAGCTACACCACCAGAGAAGAATTAAAGATGAGACCACAGGGACAGCCCAAGGTCTAGGACAGCATGTAGATTCCTCATTTGAGAACATCACTTAGAAGATCCACTTACCCACCCTTGCTCTATGAAGTCTATTTTATGCATTATACAACAGAGATGGATGATGAAACAGAATGACAAGAGTACAAATATTCAGAGGCATCTGGATGAAGCAAACAAAGGCACGAAGAGTATCAATGTCAAAGACAAAATTGAGTATGTGACTCTTAGTTCATGAATTGCACTGTGGTAGCTTAGTGGAATGTTTAGTTTTGGCTCACTGATTATGTGATTTTTTTTTTTTAATACTAAGAAAGAAAAAGTGACTAATTATGTAACACCTCTGGGGACAAGGAAAAGCAGATGATTAGCAATGATTAGTACAGCTGGTGTATTTCCTGAGTCTTTTTGGAAGGCTTTAAGTAACGTGCAATTGATTCCAGTGAATAATGCAATAAGCAGACTGTGGTGACTCAATTTCTTTGTGTTTGTACGCTTTTTTCAGATTTTTTCTTCCTCAGTTCCTTTATTTGCTATCTGAAGATATAGTATCTACATATGCCTTAAGGTTAAACCCCCAGAATAGAAATGTTAAGTTCTAGGCAATGAGAAAACTTTTCTCTGTTAATATTTTTTTGTTAAAAAATTTACTGCCTTGTTTGTAACAGCAGGTAGTACATAATAGCCTAAAGCAGGTAGTGCAAAAAAAGAGTCTAAAGATACTTTAGCATGTGACCCTCATTGCTTGCTTCAGAATACAGTACTGAACAAAAACCCATGCCATTAAATTTCATTTAGGTTGAGAGCTACTGCACTTTAAAGGTAAAAATGCATTTCAGATCCATTACTAAACACTCTAGGTAATCCTCATATGATTTCAGCTGCTAGTTTGTAAATGCCTAAAATCTCAGACTAGTGTTATTAAATTCTAAATTTAATGTGCATTAAAGGAGCTTAATTTAAAGTGTTATTGGACTGCCTTTGGGAATGATAAACCTGAAATAACAAGTTACCATTTTTAGCATATACCGTGTCTGTGGGCTGTGAAATAACAACTTGCCACCTGTCTCTTGCAGAATATTTTCGGTGATATCATATTCAGTAATAAGTTAAACTGAGGTCCCACATAAAGTACAACTACAAAACCCGAAAGAGACAAATACGGAAGCAGCTATAGCAAATCCCTTTAGGAATCGAGAGGAAAGGGGAGCTCAAATGAGGTCCAACATGAAAACAGGTGCATTTCAGCTCACTTTATCTGTCACAGAAGACAATATTTTTCAACAATTAAGACTGACTTCTCCCTCTCATTCTTCACTGGTTGCCATAATTTTGCTGCTTACTTTCTCACTACTTCTACTTAATCTTAAAATACTAATCTTTTCTTTTATAGCAAATGCACTCTGAGAATTAATAATGCCATATTCTAGTACAATGCAATTTGATCTAAATTTTATAGCAAGTTCAAAGCCCTATTCAGGTTTGCAACGTAGCAACACATAATCAAAGAGGCACAAACACATGGCACTGCCCTTTTTTTGCAAGATACTTAGATTTTGGGTGCAAACTCAAAAGTACTTGTCAACAGAATCTTGTACCCTCATGACTGAAAATACTGCAGTCAACTACTTTTGTATTCCCATGTTGAGCTGTTCCCATGTTGTGATAGTTCTGCTCTACATATATTTTTATATATGTATATATTTACAGGTACGTGTGTGTGTGTGCACGCACATTTAAAGCGGGGGGAGAAGGAAGGAAAGACGGTGGGAGAGAGAGAACGAGGGGGGGAGAATATTATACAAAGTACAGTGAACTACAGTGAAAGTATTTAAAGCTTTGAAAAGCAGACAAATATGCCTTCTTACACTTCTGCTTATCACCATGTTATAATAAAATATCTGGCAACTCCCCCAAAAGATGCAAACATCAAAAGTTGCCTTCTTGTAAGCCTACTGCAATCACTTGCATTAGAGGTGTTAAGCAACTGTTGGGCTGAAAAAAAAAAACAATATTTGAGGAAAATAAAATTCAAAACATTTATTTGCTCTGTATTTTAAAACACGGCTTTGCCCTACAATGTTTGTAATGCTGGAGTATTGTGAATAGTCACTAGAAATGTTTAAATAATATTTTTCTAAGCCTATGTGTTTTAATTCACAGGTATATCCCTTCTTGCTCCATGACTTACCATAGGAAACTGCAAAGAGAATTGCAGATAGTTACATGACCTGAATAACTTAAAGACAACAAAGAACAGAAAATGCAGATCAAGTATTAATAGGGGCCTGGTTTGGCTTTCAGGATCAGCCTTACATACACACACGTAAACAGTATAAGGTGAGAATGCCTGCAGCATGATGTCCTCTAAGCTAAATTCCATTAACAGCAGAAGTAAGAAGATAAAATAGGCATCAGGATTTGTCATGGTTTATGACTATCCCATAAAAGTGCTGCTTTCAGTTTACCAAGGTCCATATTGCCCGAATTGCAAGCTTGTTGGTACATATAAAAGCCAAACTAATTCAAAGCAAACATTATCGTATATAACACTGAAAAATCTCTATGGAACCTCTGCATATACCTTTCATCCCTTTTTCCTTTTCTCAGCAAATAGTTTCCTTATTTTTTTCTGGTTTTGTTTACTAATAAACAAGACAGTCTTGTTTCTTTGCAGAATTAACAACCAAAAGCTTGCAAGTACATAATGAACAGTGACTTCATTCTTTTTCTTGGCAGGGCAAAAGGAGGTCCCACCCAGGAGAAGCCCTCTCAAGCTCTGGACAGTGGCATGTCATTGAGGTTGCACTGCAAAGCTCCATGGCCTGTCACTGCATCGAAGACAAGCAGCTAGTGCCTGCTGGGCAAAGCCCTAAGCAGAATAAGGCAGACTTCTTAAAGAAAAACAGAATCTACCTGGAAAGAATACCAAAGACAAATAAAGGTCTTTGTCAACAAAAACGTGAAGTGTCTTGTCACAGCCTGTACAGCTTGACCTCGGATTGACTGGGATTGTCTTCTAACATCCTCCTCACTCTGCTGTTCTGCCTCACATAGTTACGTAAACCAGCCTGGGGCCTGTTGCTTAAGAGCACCACTGGAGCAGACCTCTCAGCAG